TCTATGACATCCAATTATTTTCTAGTTATATGATAACCATTAACAGTACTTTATTGAATTTTGTTCTCCAGCTATTGAGTACATTTTCTAAGGGCTATGGATCAATAGGGTTTTCTACTGACACTCAGCCAACACAGATCTAAAACCAAACCAGCTAAAATCCACAGTCAAATATGCCTTGACTAATTAAGCATAGTTCATTACAGAAATTTCTAAAGAGTCACGGAGTTCCTGGCTAACTACCTCTCTGTCCCCTCCCTCCAGCCACATTACCGGCTGGCAGCAGCAGCCAGAGGAAGCCGGGAAGCGCTGGCAGAGGGGGCAAAGGCAGCTCAGGGTTCACGATGCTGTTTATTGATATGAGACCTCAGTGGGATGCAGGAACCAGGTGCCAGCGGAATTTTTGGTTCACAGCAGTGTTGGGAAGGATCCATTTGGGGAACAGTGCCCTAGGACCTGTGAGGGAGAAGCAAATCCATGCTCCAATGTGCTCTGTGCAGAGCATACCTCACACATGGCCCTTTTCACTGCCTCTGCTCCTTTTTCCTGCAGGAATAAGGGTGGGAGGGTGATCCACTGCCCCATGGTCCTGCATGGGGGCACTTCAAGGGTTCAACAGGCTCAGAGCCCCCTGTCCATGGTGGCATCATTACTGGGGGCACTGCTCCCTTCTGGCTCCTCAAACACCTTCTGGAGGCATTCCCTGAGGGACCCCATGGAGCAGCGCCTCCAGCACTTTGTTACTGAGATGTAGATGAAGGGGATGAGGCTGCTGTGCATGCAGGCAAACAGGAGAACAACCTGGGGGGACACAGTGGTGTAGCTAAGCTGCTGCAGGAAATTCCAGAGACTTAGGGGGAGAGTGAGGAGCATAGCAAGGAAGACAATGATGTCAAGGCTCTTGGATTGCTGCTGCTGGGAGCTACCCTTGAAGTGAATGAAGAGGATTGTGCTGGAAATGACCATGGATGGAGCAAAGACGAGGAAGTTGAGGATGTACAGGGAGATGAGAGCCCCGTGGCAGCAGAGCTTGTGTTCCTGTGAGTGGCACAGGGAATTCACCGCAGAAATGGCAGCGATGGCAGTGGTGGAAAGGGCCCAGAGCACGGCACTGACCACCACCCATGAGAGGCCCTGGGGAAGGTGGCAGAAGAGCCCAGCTGGGCAGAGCATGGACCTGCCCCTCTCGATGCTGATGTCCGTCAGCCGGTACAGCCCTACGCTGTGGAACATCGGGAAGAGGAGGAAAAGGAAGCGTATGGATGGTGGGGGCATGATGGAGGAGCAGGAGAAATCCTCCAGCAGGAAGAGCAGAGTGGAGGGGACCATGAAGATGAGGAAGAGGAAGTTGATGAGGGCCAGGTCAAGGATGTAGGCAGTGATGGGTTTCATGGTGTCCCTGTGGATGCGGAACCCAAGGACGCAGAGCACAGCCCCGTTCCCAGCCAGCCCACAGAGGCAGATGAGCAGGGTCACACTGTGTGTGGCCATGCTGGGGACATCTGTCCCACACAGACCTTGCCCTTCAGGATTAGTTGGCAGGGGGGGTCATGATGTTCATCCCCTGGATGGACACTGGGCAGGCAGTGAGATGTGGCCCCTGGCTGTGGTCAGAGTGCTTGGAGAATGCAGGGATGGACCGTGTGGCTCCTCAGCAGCTCCCTGCAGTAGGAAGGATTCAGTGGGGAGGAGTGAGATGTGCAGGGGAGGAGGGCAGTGGGAATGGTGGGGTGTGGGAGGGTGGTGGGAGGGTTGGGTTGTTCAGGCACAGGGCAGAGGAGGAGGGAGCTGGGGAGGGCCCTGTGGTCACCGGGAGAGGGTGGCAGGAACAGAGCAGCTGCTGCAGGAGAGGAAGGTGGGGTAGGGAGGAAGGCAAACATTCCAATGACCTGTTCCCTGTGGGGCAGCAGCAGGCAAAGGGCTCTGTGCAGATCAGCGGCGCTTCCTGGTCCCTCTTGCTCCTTTGGGATCCATGTCCTAAAGCGGCTCCTGCCAGGTCAGGGACATGAAGGAGAAAGTGCCCAGGTCACCAGGAGCTCCCCATTCCTGTCCTGCTGGCTTCTCTCTGTTCCCAATTCTGCTGTTGTTTCCCAGAGCTTGGTGCAGTCACAGAGGACTCGGAAATGATTTTACAAATTTGTCTCCATTAGATTTCCACCCCCCCGGAGTAATTGATCTTGACTTTTTCCCCGTAAAAATCAAGTGATTTGTTTTCTTTGTTGTGAGAAACGATGCGTCCGTTCTTAAAATTTTAAAAAATTATTAAACTACAGCAAGGGACAAAATAAGGTAAAAGTAAAAACGCTCGGTGCTCACTCGCAGACAGAGGCACGGCCAGAGGCACGCTGCCTGCAACAGAAATAGGCTTTGCAGACTCTCGGTAATCCAACCCCGGCATTCAGACACATTCCACTTTTCCAACACAGCTCCTCCTCCGTCCCGCCTTCCCGGAGCTTTTGCAGCGCTTCGGGCTTCGACTGCCCACAATGTTCAGATATCAGCATTACAACTCTCAACATGAACACAGTACTCACGTTAGAAAAACTCCAAATCTTAACAGAGCTTCTTTGAACATTATAACACACATAGTATTCATTCAACATTTGCGAGAGTCAATCACCATAGCACCTGTTCATAACATTTTGAATAGCTCCTCATTTCCCCCTAATTAGAAACACTCCTTCTCTGTAGAGTGTCCCATTCTTTAACTTCCTTCCCTGACCAGACAGATTTCTGCTATACCTCCTTTCTCTTCCCTGAGGGGTCATTGTCCCTCCAGCAGCAGAGGGATGCTGGTGGTGCTGGTGGCACTGGAATACTGCTGGCAGTGCTGGCTGTGCTGGTGAAGCATCTGGCTGCTTGTCAGAAACTGCTCCCATTATCGGAAGAGCTCCAGAACTACTGCCAAATCCTCCCCTGGGCTCATGGGATCATCCCTGGGCCATGGATTCCCATTCCTGTCATTCCAATGCAGGCTCACACAGCCCAAGGGAAGGACAGCACTCAGTTGCTTTCAGCCAGGCTATCAGCACTTGGAGCCCACCCTAATTACCACCAATCCCTTAATGATGCAGTGAAAGCTATCAGGGACCAGGGTGCTGTGAACTCCCTGCCAGCCCTTCACCAGAGCTGCTCCTGCTCCTCCTCAGTCCTGGGAACACTTGGGGTTGTTTGTGACACCTGATTCCAGACTGTCCCTTTGCAAGCAGGGACACCTTCCACTATCCCACGTTGCTCCAAATCCATGTCAGGCTGGCTTTGGACACTTCCAAGGATCCAGGGACATCCACAGCCTCTCTGGGCCATGTATGGCAGGGCCTCTGCACCCTCACAGGGAAGGATTTCTTCCCAATATCCAATCTGACCCCACCCTCTGTCAGTGGGAAGCCATTCTCCCTTGTCCTGTCACTCCATGCCCTTGTCCAAAGTCCCTCTCCACCTCTCCTGGAGCCCCATCATGAAGCTCCTGGATCATGAAGTGTTTGCCCTTGAAAGGACTGGGCTGGTGAGGGGATGTGAGATTCCATAGCTGGGGACACAAACACGGTGTCAGCAGGAAGAGAAGAGACAGTTCTGGTCCCAGGGCCATCACACACACGGCAGTTTCCAGCAGGAGCATCCCAGATCCCTGAGGCACATGTCAGCCTTGAGAGGAATCATCTTGGAATTCACTGCAGGTTGCTGACCCCCATGAAAACTTTTGCTTTGAAATCTTTGCCCTGGAAAGGAAGCTCAGGGATGGAGTGGCCTGGGTGATGCAGGAGACAAGGAAGGTACTGGGAAGTAGAAAAAGTACATTGGAGGATCATGATCCTCCTGCACTTGCTTTGGGAGAAATCCCCTGGCTGAGTTGTTCTTCCATGGACAAGAGGTTGCACCATGGAAAGTTTCTGCTTTCCAATGGACAGGATAATGGGAGACAGGGAGAGAAAAACCCACTCAGATGTGAAAGTCTCCCTCTTCTGTTAATTATTAACAACTCTTTGCATAAATGCTCCATAGCTGTTTAACCTCACATGTGTCTCCAAAGCCTGACTCCCCACCCACGGCTTTCACTCTCACTTCCCTTTCTAGAAGCAGTGGCACGTTGGTTTACCCTGGATTTAAGGCAGTGGGAAAAGGAGGGACAACTTCCCCCTGAGCAAGAGATGTGGCTGCTGCCCAGCTCTCTCCCAGCAGGAATCAGGAGCTCTTGGCGCTGCCAACATCATCCCAACCATTGCCGGCATGTGCCTTAGGAAGGGCTCTGGTATGAGACAGGAACCTGCCCTGCTCCCAGAGAAGCCAGAGGCTTTAGAATGGGATAAAAGAAGGAAATTAGCTATTTTGGACACTGTTTACCAGGGACAGGCTCTGCAGTGAAGCCTTGATATTTTGCTTAGCAAATTCTGAGGCTGGGACTACCACAGGGGAAAGAAGCAAAAACCATGAATGCAAATCTGATAGAGGAGTAGTTACAGACTGACAAAGATCAGGAGAGGCTGGACTGTGGCTGGAGCTGCTGTGCAGAGTGGCTGTGCAGCTCCTCCTGAGGGTGGCCAGGTTCAGGATGGAGGTGCTCAAGGGCTTCCCTGGACACTGATGCTGGGGAACCAGAGGATGGATGGCCCCATTCTGCAGAAGAGCAGCATAACCCCCTAATTTCTGTGCAATTCAATGGTCCAAGCATCCGGTGATGGGAATTTCCATATTCCATGTACCTTCTGAATCCAGGTAAAGGCGTTTAGTGGAGTTCACCATGGACCCTACACTTTACTCAGAAGGATTCAATTCAAGACTTCAAGAATGTGAGACATTCCCAGTGAAAGGATAAGGGAATGTTGCTGTCCCTCCCAGCTCTGCAGCCCTACCTGGTGTCTCTTCCCATCAGCTGGGAATGCAGGGCTGGCTCTGTGGGACAGAAGGGGAAGGATGCTCCCTGTGATCCCAGCCCCTCTCCTGCCATCCAGAGGCACCAGCCCTGCAGGGATTTGGGAAATCACTGCCACCCAGTGCTGGATGTGTCCCCAGGGATTAAGGTGTCCCATTCTTTGTAGGCGAGAGCTCCCTGAAAACACCATGGAACTCATCTACTGAGCCAAAGGAGATGGAGTTCATTCCCTGGGGGCGAGGCCACGAGGGTCATTGCATGGGGAATAGAGCTGGGGAACAGCACTGAGCCCAGCTGCACTGCTTGGAGCCCTGTGGATCCAGGAAGGAGGAGGAAAGCCATGATCCAGTGTGCTCCCTGCAGAGCATCCCACAAAAACCACCCAAGCCAATGCCCCTGCTGTCTTCTCCTGCAGGAGTACACCAATAAAGGGAGGGTGGTCCTGTGGACATTGATTAGTAAGGAGGCTCTAGGAAAACTTAAGCCTCTGTGCTGAGGTCCTTCAGCAGAGCAGTGGAAGAGATCAGCAGGCTCAGACCCCCGTGTCCATTGTAGGATCATGGCTGTGGGCAGTGTTTTCTTCTGGCTCCTCAAAGACCCTCTGGAGGGAGAGCAGGAGGGATCTCACAGAGCAGGGCCTCCTGCGCCTCCCTACCAAGAAGTATATAAAGGGTTTGATGCTGCTGTGGATGCAGGTGAGAAGGAAAACAACCTGTGAGGACACATCGATGTAACCAAGCTGCTGCAGGAAATTGCAGAGGCTGATGATGAGAGTGAGGAGCACAGTGATGATGATAACGATGTCGCGCCTCTTGGGTTGCTGCTGTTGGAAGCCCCACTTGGCCTTAATGAAATCAACTTTACTGGAAGTGACCACAGGTGCAAGAAAGAGGAGCAGGATGATGGTGTACATGGAGATGAGAGCTGCCCGGCAGAGCTCCTGCTGGTGCGATGGGCACAGGAATGTCACTGTGGGAATGACAGTAAACAGAGAAAAGAAGGCCCAGTATTGGACACCGTCCCCCACCCACATCAGGCGCTCTGGAAGCTTCCAGTGGCAGCAGAGCTTACAGAGCTTGTACATAGACTGCACATTGCTGCTGGGCATCAGCCAGAACAGTCCCCAGTAGTAGGAGACTAATGAGAGCTGGAAAAGGAAATTTGGGTACATCAGGGGCAAGACATGAGAGCAGGACACGTCCTCCACCAGGAAGAGGAGGGCAGAGGGGAGTCCAAAGAGGAGGAAGAGGAAGTCAATGACAGCCAGGTCAAGGAAGCCAGCGTTCCTGATTTTCAGGCTGAGGAGGCCGATGACAGCCCCATTCCCAGCCAGCCCGCAGAGGCAGATGAGCAGTGTCACACTGTGTATGGCCACATCAGTGACATCTGTTTCACACAGATCACCTCCTTCAGTGGGTGAGGCAGGAGGTGGGGACACGGTGCTCACCTCCATGGATGGACGCTGGGCAGGCAGTGGGATGTGGCCCCTGGCTGTGGTCAGAGTTGATGGGCAGTCGGTGCTAGGAGAATCCAGGGATGGACCATGTGGCTCCTCAGCAGCTCCCTGCAGTGGGAAGGATTCAGTGGGGAGGAGTGAGATGTGCCGAGGAGGAGGGCAGTGGGAATGGTGGGGTGGGAGAGAGATGTGGGAGGGTTGGGCTGGTGTGCCATGGATCAAGAAATAACAGAGAACAACATTTTCAACTCTTTTGAACTTGCTTAAAGACTAACTGGGGAAAAAGATAAAAATATGTAAGGATGTGGACAGCAGTGATAAACGTGGCTGGAGCCAGTGCAGAAACAGATAAGAAGGTCCACAGTATTTTTAGAGCAAGTTCTGTAACACGAAGCAACGGTCCATGGCTTAAGGAAAAGTTCAAGATGTGGTCACCTTTAATGTCTCAGCAATTAGGGAATACAACCACCAGAAGCCCCTCTGAATGAACCTCCAGGATCATAAAAGGACTTCCATAAGGAAGAGTTTGCATGGAAATGAGTTCTAGGAAAATAATGTTTATGTTCTAGATAAGAAAAGCTTTTAATGTATGGTTGTAATGAATAAAAAGGATGTTGTAAAGTATCACAACAAAAACAGAAATAAGGAGAGATCCTTCTATGTATCCTGCTGCCCAATAATTCCCTTGGTAACACCATTGGTTGATGTTAGGAACTTTATTCTGTCTGATTTTGATATCACTCCAGATCCAT